ATCTAGCACATTCCACTAATGGATAAGGTTGCTAATATGGGCAGGGGTTGTGTTCTACCCAGTTTCTCTTGGCCACTTTAGGGTGCTGCAGGTACATCCCTCCCCTCCAGTCACTGGAGATGACCCTTAATGGCCATTTCGGTTTGGGCTGCAAGAGAGACCTGACACCTGAGCTCTGAAGAGGCATTTGTCCACATAATGTCTACCTGGCTCTTTGTTTCAGGATTATCTGGGTATCTCAATTAACCTGCGCATTAGGAAAGTGCAAAGTGAGACAGTTTGGCTCAAAACGTGAAAGGAACATTTTATTTATTTTTAGGTTAGGCACTGCAAAAGACAAAACTATAGCTCTGTGATCTATCCATACCTTGCAAGCTGTGTAGCAGATATGGGACAGCAGGCAATGGAGGAGAACAGGGAATGGGACCGCAAAGGAAATTGATAAAAGAAACCATACCTGCCTTTTCAGCCATTTGAACTGAGGATATAAAATAGAATGGTATTTTATTTACTTTTTTTTTTCAACCAAACCAAGTTGGTCTGAAAAGATCTAGAGAACGCGAGAGGCTGATATTATGCATGCATTCAAGGGAGTCTGGAGTTGATATGTTAAGACTCACTTTGAGAATAAGATTACCAGTGATTACTGATCTTGATTGTCATATATTACCTTCTAAATTACAGGTATATTCCTGAAATACCAATTTCAGGATAAACATGGAAATGTGCCATCACCTTCCTGCATTGTTTATGAGCTTCTTCTATCCGACTGGACCTTTGGGTAGAAAAGGCTTTTTTTGTTGTTATTGTTGCAAAAATGGCTGAGTAAGATAAACAAACAAAAATCTCAGCAGATCAGGTAAAAGCCTTCACTGAAAAAACACAAAGCAAAAACCAATAGTTTTGTGAAAAGGCAGACAAGCTTACATACAGAACAGGGCAGAACATCTTCCCGCCAAATGAAACATCTAGATCAGTAGTTTTCAAACTTGGCAACTTTAAGATGAGTGGACTGGGGAATTCTGGGAGTTGAAGTCCACACATCTTAAAGTTCCCAAGTTTGAAAGATACCGATCTAGAGTTACTAGCTAAATATGCATACCTATTCCCATCATTGCCTCAAATATCTGTGTTGGAAGACTTAAGCTTGTGAGAGGTCCTCCTCCTCAAGCTACCATATCTGGGATGCAAAGCTCTTGATGCCCACTAGATGGCAGCAAAAAGAAACAGACAATCCTAACTAGTGATTGCCCATATTTTTTTCAGTCCAGACATGGTAAAGTCTTTTTTGAGTCAAGTGCAACTCCCAGTAGCATCACAGACACACCCATGCAGTTTTAATGGCAGCAGTACAATAAGGAGTAGTTTGTCACTGCTGCCTTTCAGGATAATTTTCAACTTCAGTAGTACTAATTTTGCTACATACCTTGAGGCACTGTAACCAGAGGAAAGCACACAACCGTGGTTGAGGGAGGTAAGTCCAATGCAAAATGTTGTCTCACAAGGAGTAAATACCTACTATATATATATTTTCTTCCACCAGTGAACCTGAAGCAAAAATAATTGAGTTTTTTCATTCTTCCATTGATAGGAAGACTACAGCTGCACAAAGAACTAGTCAAAGCAAGCAAACTGGTATAATGTATAGGCAAGAAATACTGAGGCTGTGAGAGAAATAATTGTTATAATGGCAGAAAGTTTGTATCACTTGCAACTGGCCTTAGGGCTGTAATAAACGTGTGTGTGATATCACTTGCATTTTCTAAAGCTGTTAAGAAATCTGAAATCTATGGAGAATTACTACAAACCATTCAACTTGATTCATCCATAGATCCTGATACATTTCTTGCTGCCTCTGTTTTACCTTGATCAATTCCATTTTGATGTATTTGCTCCTACAAAGAATTTTGTAGTAATTTCACATTTACATATTATAGGAAATCTCTTTTTTTAACCTTTATTGATTAGTTTTGCTTAGTTTGAACAAAAGATATCTTATTATATACTTCTGAATAGTTAAGAGTGAATGAATTATCAGAATTAGCCAGATTCCTCCCCAGTTTCTCTTGACTCCAACTCACAGAATTGCAGTAGGCTCTGAGAGGCCAGAGAAATTGATGCAGTCTTGAACAACTGCTGATTAAGGGTTCAGAACACATTTCCATCACTATAAATTGACACTTTGGACTGCAAAACCTCCAAAGGAAATGTTGCTAACACTTCTACAGTGATATTCAGACTTCTATTTTGTATAGTAATATTAAAGGCAATTGAGTTGTATTTTAATATTCTGTTGAAACAGCTAAATGCTACAGAATCAAATTAAGGGATACAATTATAGGTTTTGGTAAGCAGTAAACTCTCAAGTGTGAATCCTGGTGACTGTATGGTCCATATCATTGTCTTAGATACAGTACAAAAGTGTTTTGCCGTTGCCTTCTCCCAGGGTGTTTTTTCAACTTCCCAGTCTAACTTGCAGCCCTGGGATTTCCTTGTGGTCTCCCATACCCTACCACTAACCAGGCCCAACTCTGCTTAGCTTTTCGAGATCAGATAAAGTTAGCGAGGTGCTTACTTAGCTCAGCATAAGTTTCAGTATGATAATTCAAAGAGAGAGGTCTGTGTGTCAGGTGGAGAACTACATTCTCATCAAGTTTCAAATGGTTACCCTTGGATATATTCAAGATTAAATTGGGTTGCAGGATATCTACCTAATGATGCCCCAGACCAATTTATAGGCATGGTGAGTGTAAATGGGTACATACAACAATGGACAATAGAGTTTGCATCCCCAAATACTTTTTTCTTTCCAGTGTGTTACAGAAGTTAGGGAGACCTATGTTCAGGTACATCCTCAGCCATGGAAAAGTTTGGTGACTTTGGGCCAATTGTATGGTCTCCACTCACTGGTTTTGTGAATAAAAGTGAAAGAACATCATGTAAGCTGCCTTGACCTCTTGGGTATAAATTTAAGTAAATAAATATTTGTTGTTGATCATGAGGTATTAATTTGTTTAGTAGTAGAAACCTAGAATGTTTAGATAAATGAAGAAGTGAGCAGAGATCATTCAGTTTACAATTGTGCAGAATGCCAAGATCAGGGCCATCTCCAGAAATTGACAGTCTAGTTTATGCTGGGTCCTACTAAATAACAGTGTTGCCATTCTTACTTTGCAAGATTAAAAGACTGATAAAATTTCCTGTATCTACATTATGCCTCTCCAACATTGCCTGGAATGGTCTCATAATGTTAATTAATATCTTGGTTGTAATTCTAATCACATCCAGGCAATTGTTTCTTTTCATCTCTTTTTTGAGTCATTAAATTGCCTCTGCTTCATATCACTTGTTTAGTTAGTTCACATTGCTATGTTGAACTTACTGCAAATTTTCACTTGACTATTCTTCATTGAGAAACCAAATATGAATATAATTTGTGTATTTGACCAGTAATGTTTTGTTTCTATGGAGCTTTAAATTCCTTGTATAATTATTTTTATATATTTTTCACTATGCTGTCAGTGATCTTGAAATTATTTATTCTGGAATTGGGGGCAGACCATCAAACAGTTCAGAAGAAAAGTATGTAGATTAAAGAAAGAGAATGAAGAGCTTTAATTTTGGTTCTCCTTAAAATACCTTCAGAAAAAAATGAAGTATTTTCAAAGCCAGATGGTTGTCACCCAGAACAGTTTTTCCCATTCAAGGCTTTCATTTAAAGCTCATACAATACTAATAAAGGAATCATCATTCCAAAATAATACATTGTTTATGTGAACAATCTGATTCAAATGCAAGCTTTCTCAAATTGGATCATAGGACCAAAAATATATTTTTTAAAATTATGATTATGTTATTATCCAGTCCATTAGGACTCCAACTTGCTGGATTGATAGGAAAGCAAACTTTATATCTAGGTAGCAGCAGAAAGAAACTGCAGCTGAGAGGCCTGCCATCCCCCTGGGAAGGATCGGATATCCGACAGCCTCAGCCTCAGGTCCAGCCCATGAGGCTGTCACCTTCAACCTTCCCCGCCCTCATCCTCACTGCAGCTTTGTTAGACTGCTCTAATCGTTTGGAATCCTTTCGTGATCATACAGTGAGAGAAAAATTGCCGCTAACTGGTTCCTGCGTGCCTCCTTTTCATTGTATGTCTCTATTCCATCTAATTGGATGAAATAGGAAGTCTCTGGCAGCCTTGTGTTGCTGGGTGTGCGGATTTAACTCAGGCCAGCCCTGCAGAGGGGTGGGGAAAGAGAAAGGAGAGCAGAAGGAAGGAAGGCATGGAAAGGAAAGAGTACTGTGGAGGGACGAAGAAGAAGAAGAGGTGGTAAGGATGCAGAAGAGTGTCCCCGTCCTTTTATTTCCTCCTTTCTGTAATGACGATGCTGGGAGTGATGCTCAGGGAGCAGGCACCTGCTGCTCTGTAATGATTCAGCCTCTTTCTGCCAGCTCGTTTGCACAACAGGATGCTGTTGTTACTGTCTCTGCTGCTGCCGTTGACGCTGCTGCTACCCTGCTTCCTGATTTTCTTTTGGCTCCTACTGCATGATGGCTGTGTTTTCCTCTTGAGCAGCCCCCAGTCCCAGATGCTTAAGGTGAGAAGCCAGCTGTTCCCTTTGGGCTGTTGGTTCAGTTAACCAATTTTGTTGAGGAATTCAGCTTCTGGTTTTCATTGCCTTATTTTGGTTCCTTGAAGAACTGAGATGGCTTGAGACAAAATTAGGAATTTAAAATAACAACATTTTAAAAAATGAGGAAGGAAAAAGAGCTGAATCATTCATTATGAGAAGCTTCTTTTCTGAGAACTTGGAAGATTTGATTGTTTGTGGTGTCTTTCTGTTGGATCTCTTTCTGACACTTTGACTCTGTTTTAATGCCTGTGCTGTGATGCTATAAGATTTCTGGACCTGGCTTTCCTATGAAAGGTGATAGACTAGAATCAAGCTTTTAATTAAGCCTTCTTGAGGAGAACTCCCTTGGAAAATACATGCTCAAAAATGTCGGAAGCTGGTCTGGAGAAAGCTCCCCATCCCTCAACCCAGCTGAGCCCCACTGCATCACTTGAGGGGCTTCCTGCTGAAGAGGAGATACCAGAGACTCAAAGGGAGGAAACCAGGATTCAGGGAATAGCAGGCCTTGCTGCTACTTGTTGTGTGTGTCTGGAGACAGAGCGACTGACGGGTTGCCTTAATTCCGAAAAGATCTGCATTGTCCCAATCTTGGCTTGCCTGATCAGCCTCTGTCTCTGCATTGCTGGCCTCAAGTGGGTGTTCGTGGACAAGATTTTTGAGTACGATTCTCCTTCCCATCTTGATCCTGGTAGGACTCGGCAAGATCCGATTACCTCCGTGGACCCTACTGCACTGTCCGCTTGGTTGCCGTCTGCAGCACAAACCTCATACTTCTCCATTCTCACCAGTGAAGCTGCACGGGAGGTTGTGGAGCAACCCAGTGGCCCTCTGGTAGTTATCTCCGAGGTGGCTTCTAAGCCATCTCCATATAACACTGTCCCAAATGATTATTTCTTAACCTCTTTGGTGCCCTCCTTACCTCTGCCTAGCCTAAAACCTGAAGTGAAAAGACCCACCACTGCAACACTGGTACAACAATTTGAAACTAATATCCAAACAACTCCACCAAAATTAGGTAAGTTTGTATTTTATCCCCCACTTCCTATGCCAGTTTGATCTTAATACTTTGTATAAGTAGCATGATGAGTAAACATGTTTTGCTGATCATTAAACTGATCTAGGTTAAGGCAAATTATATTTTGAGCCTATTCCTTTACTAAGGTTCAGAAATAGAATATGATGGAAATGCAGTTTACTTTACAGTTTGGCAAGTCATTTCAGTAATGAACTTTATGGGTCCATTGCATTGATTTTATTTTATTTCAGTTCTTTATAGTTGTCAAATGTATCTATTACTTCTGTGTGTTCTGCACTCCTGACAAATTACCTGCCCCATCACAATAATATATACATTTCCCCCCTTAAAATAATAATAAAAAAATAGAAAAGTCTATTATGGAAGAATTGCTGTGAATTTTAGCAATTCTAGATTCCGATATTACTGTGTGGTACAATATAACAGATATTCATTGCAATATGCAGTTCCACTAGTACTTCCTTTGCCATGGAATTTATTAATATTGTTCATAACTCTTCAGTCTGGGGTAAATATAAACAATGACTTGCTACATTTCACCCTGGAATCTTTTTATGGCAAGAGCTGAGCCTTGGAATGTAAGGTATGGCGATGAAAAGAAAGGAGCCTCGGAGCAAGTGTAGGGTGTATTTTCCTTGACCTTAGCTAACCTGTTTGGGATCAAAAGGCAGTATCTTAGTTGGAGGATTTCCTTTCCAGGTTGAACTTGAGATATGTAGTTCATGGTAGCATTGGGGCGGGGCGGGGGGGTGTATTTCTGTGTATATAACCAGGCTTTTTTCAGGTTTGGGAGTATTTGAATAATTTAACCTCTTTGCTGATTTGACCAAAGTTTGACCCATTGGTTTAAACTAGTAATTTTATCCCCATTCCTCTTATTGTTCATATCAGAAACAGAGAAAATGTTACTTTCTCACTAATATACCAAACTTCTAAGTAATGAAAATGTAATGGGATAATTTGATGTGCAGTACTGAAAATAAGTTAGGTTTTATTTTTATCAAAATCACTTTTAACCTTTTGTATCTCAAATGTTTAATAGAATAACATCCAATAGTAGAGAACAAAAATGCTCACATTTATTAAAATGCAACTGTTGTGACAATGCAGTTGTCCATTCGTGGATGGTATATCTTGAATCAGAAAGGGGAAGCTGCTTGGAGTGATTTGTAATTTTAACAGGAACATGCAGTGCAGAACACTGGCTATTCCTTTGATGTATGTTCACTTTTGCAGCAAGAAAGATCTCCCTCTCTTTTTCCTTGGCCAAGCTACTTTGGGGATGTTCTTTCTGAGAGCATCATGTATCACAGATGTACCTTTTCTTCTAGATACATGTCCCATAATTTCTGTTCTTGAAACAATTTTACCAACTAAAAGATTGGGCCTACACAAGTTCCTTCACTGGGACTCTTCTGCTAAATTAATAAGTTTAGGATTGCAGCTTTCACGTATGGATGGTTCAGAAATCCTGGTGCTTTCGGGAACGCTGTACCCATTTACAGCAGCTACAGCATGGTTCTTGCCTAGTTATTATATTTCAGATGAGACCATCTTACTGAGAGGAGTTGAAGGTTATAACAATGCAGCTCCTTTATGTATCTTTTGCTTTGAGAATTGATTACTGAAGTATTGGCTAGAGCTCTGCCTACCTTGAATTGACAGCCTGTCAAATAGAGGATTGATTACTGGACAGTAAAGACCAGCTAAGTAACTGTCATGTATCAAGATTGCCTTAGACCATTTTTGTAGATGAAAGTGTCACCTTTTCTTCATTCCAAAATAAGTTATTTTTTTTTAAAAAGCAGTAAGTACTGTTGCCACACTTACACTGCTCGCAAACTGATTACCATTAGCAAAAAAAAAAGAGCAGAAAATACGAAAGAGCTGTAAATATAAAATGCCTAGCCCACAAAATTCTGTAAAACAGAAAGGATTTAGTTCATTCAGTACTTTGAAATTAGGCCAAAAGACTGCATCTGCTTATACCCTATTCACTGAGTAAGTTTCTACAGGGAAAAAAGAGAGTTATAACAGCTGGTTGATTTTTACCTGTAGTCCACTCAGCTCATACATTTGCAGAATAAAGGCAGGAGGTGACACCACATTGATTCCATACAGGAATACCTTCGGTTTTGTTTCCATCTGCATTTAGAATCGATCTTAAGTATAGCAAGTTTTGGAGCAATGAAAATCTCTATATAATCAGGAGGGGAGAACAAGGTTGCAAGTAAAAAAAATAAGATTGCCATAGAATGTAGAGAGATAAAAGGTGACTCAAACCCTAGCCCTTTCATAAATTATGGGTTACATCTTACTGGAGCGGATCGTAGAGCAAATTTTTAAAATCCATTAGGTAGATTGTTGGAAGAGAGTGAAGCACATACATGTAACGAAGCATTTGAGCTTCGTTCCGCTGTTCAGACTAAGTATGTGCTGTCATACTTCACAGCCAGGCAGGTCCATTTTGAAGCTGGATTTTTTTGTGTATTGCAGAATCTAATTTCCTTTCTCTCCAACTCAGCATATTCTGTTTGGGGTTGCATCCTTCAAGGTCATAGTCTGACAAGGGCTAATTGATTCCTCTCTGAGCTGGAGTCTGAAAGAGAACATTCTTAGCAATTGTCTCTCTTACTTTCAAGCAATTGTCTACCTTTTAGTACCTAACATTTTGTAATTTTATCAGTAGAAACATAAATTCACCTTTCTCATTTCAAAACCAATCTCATATTTCTTCTCCTGAAATAGAAAAAATAATACATTTCTTTTACACATTCATAGGTATGGCATATTCACATGCTGATCTGAATGTGTCATGTTTTGCTATAGCCAGTGTTATTTCAGTAATGATATGCTAGGTTCATGAATACTAATCATACGGAGGTAGAAAGATACTTTTCTCACAACTGTATAAAAGCAGCACAATTACTATAATAACTATGTTTGGACTATAGCAACTGTTTATGTAATAATTTTGTATTGTATATTATATTTTAAATATTTTTGTTGCTACTGAAGATGTAAAGCCTTTTATCTTTTGTTTCAATGTACTATTTACCTGCTAGAAGACGATTGCATGATGCATTTTTCAGCCGGGATAATTCTGATTGTCTTCTAGAAAATTTAGCAGCATTCTGGTTAACCACTCCTGACTTGGTTCCATTGTACAGTTTCATATTTTTCTTCATTTTTTCCATATTTGTTGTTAACCCCTTGTATGTGGATAATAGATGAGACAAAAATGTTCAGAAACATAAAGTAAAAGAATCTTCATTCCTGAAAGCCAGCAGGAACAGCTCAGAGCATGTTTAATGAATAATCAACAGAAGGACACTATGAGGCTTTTTAAAACAGTAGATTTAGACCGATGTAAAGAAAAGCCTAGCTTGAATCTAAGCTTGCACATTTTGGAAGATAGTAGTTGCTTCTCAAATAGCCCATTTAGATATGCCTTCTGTCTTCTGGAGTACAACAGGAATATAATGTTCTAAATAAAAAACAGAGTAAGCACAATTTACTCTGAAATTGAAAATAAATTTGGATTAGGTTCTTAAGTATAATTAATAATGGAGACACTACTTGCCTGGCAGTATTTTTTCATTTACAAGGAAACATAAAATACATTCTTAAGTTACTATGATTACTCTTGTTATTTTTAATTAAAAATGGATCTCCCTAAAAGGTATACTGCATTGCAAACAATTTTGGTTTTTTTTCAGAAGCCCCCCTTAGATTAATTTTAAAAGAATGTTTCTCGGTGAACTCTGAATGAAAAAGGCATGAGTGAAATGTTGGGGAAGAGTACCAATGTTGCTTTACTTGTTTGATCAGGAAATGTATATCTTTGAAAGTAATTCATCTTCCAAAATTGCTAGGTCAATCAATCAGATTTCTTAGGACCAGCATAGAATCTGAAAAACTTTAGCAAATATATTAATATTGCATTATTTATTCAATGATATATCAAGATAATTGTGCATGATTCAGATTTGTATTCTTATTATTTTTTTAAAAATTCCTTTGCCACAATTTCTCTAACCCCAATGATTTCAGAAGATACATTATGGTTGAACATTGAGAGAAGCTTATTTGTGCTGTGCAAAACAGGTTTACCTCAGGCTGCCTGTTGTAACTTTTATAATGAGAAAAAAATTGAGCCATTTGGTTCAGATTACCTGGATTCTAGAATTTACTTTGCAGTTGGAATACAAAAATTACTGTGTAAATAGTCCTAATCTTTAACCAGCGTTACTTTTTCATGTAATTTTCATATATTTATGCCAGTACTTGCATCAGGATCTTATTCTTCCAGGAACAGAAGAGGTTACTTGATTGCTTCATGAACTGCAAGTCATATACACTAATCGAATTCCTGAATGCAAACTCATCTTTTACTTTCTCTTGGTCATTAGGAAAACAAGAATTAGTATTTCCCTTTTCTTCCTGGACTTGTACATCTCCTGTGGTTTGTTTTTGGCAAGCCCAGGCCATAATTTAAACTATCTATTTGTTCAGAGGCAAATAGGGTAGTACAAAATCAGGCCTGTATAGGCTGCTCACAAGAGACCAGTTCTGCTTCTAAGTAGACAATAAAGCTAGAAAGAAAAAAAATGACTAGCTTAAATAGGGAATAATTTACATATGAGTGGAGTTTAATTCCCAGTTGCCAATGCAAAAAAAAAAAAAGAATTATCTTTTTGCGGGGGAGGCAACCTTACATGGCAAATGTTTCATTTGTTCCCTTCAATATCAAGGTTTCCTTTTTTCCAAATCTGTTGGCTTTCAGTGCTTTATCACAGTGTCCTCACTTTATGTAGTTTCTTAACACTCCTCATTCATCTATGTTTTTCTATGAAGGATTACCTTGTGTGTTGTTTGACAAGTATGTTGATTTGGAAGAGCAGGATTGCAAAGCTTAGGGAACATTTTATAACAAGATAATATGCATCTTCTACCTAGGCTGTGTTTTTAGAAATTTG